CGGAGATGGAGCTACACCTTACATCCGGAGAGTCTGGGTATTTATGTGCCTACCGAGGGGATTAACATTCTCAGAACTTCTCCTTTAAGCTTGTTAGCAAGCAGAATGTAGATTATTCATCACAAAGAAGAAAGCAAAACTTTGTTGGTCAGAATAAAATAGCTGTATTAATTACAGTAACTCATGTCTGATCACTACATGACTCGGAGATTCCAAAGCATTACCATGTAGTGTAAATCACACCAAGGTCTAAAACCATTAAAGGAAATTTGGGTTTGGTTTTGTCTTGTGTGGTTTGTCGGGCTGTTTTGTATTTTTTTGTTGGTTTTTTTTTTGTTTGTTTTGTTTTGGTTTTGGTTTGTTGTGTTTTGTTCCAGGGATGGTAGGAAGTTAAACAACAGGTGAACTTGTTATATTTCATTCTTGGAGAACCCACAGAAAGATATTTTTCTGGGAAAAAAATTAATGCTATCTTTATCTACAAGGGAATTCTGGGAAAAGCTGGAGGCATTTTTGCAGATTTCAATCTAACTAATCCTAACCCTGCAGGGGTAAATTGATACAATTATACAATAGCCTTCATTGTTTAAAGAACCAGCTCTTAAGAGTTCCCCAAAGAGTCACTTTGTTTGTAGTTGTTTCTTTGTCCTGGCTTAATTCATAAATGTTATAATGTTGTTTGAAACAGATCTGGGATAATCATAAACTATTAGGAACTCAATATGGGCTGTTACTTACAGGACCCATTAATCTCACCACTGAAAATATCTTACAAATGACCAAAGAGAAAGAAACTGTCTTCTCCTTAACTGTAGCCAGGTAAGGTTAGAGCAATCTATAGGCATGCTAACTTTAAATTTTTTTAAGAGTAGGAAAATTTATTGGGGAAAAGGAATATGGGATAGAAGCAGCTCCTAAGAGCCCGGAGGGGTTTGGAACAGGTTGCCCAGCACGCTTTCTTTAAAAACTAAAGGAAGCAGAACCAAAGGCAGGAAAACAATACGTGCACATACAGGTTGGTTTCCTGACCCAGGACAGTCTCTCTCTTTCTCTCCTCCTTGTCCTAGAAAAGGGCACAACTCTCACCAGTGCTGGGCTCTTCCCTTCTGCTCCTTGGCTGCTCTGTCCAGTGGAGCCACCCAGAGTGGGAGAATCACTGTTGGTCACCATAGTTGGATATCACATCGCTGACCTCCTTTTGTCAGGAACGTTCAGAGGGACCCTCCCATAGCCACACACTCCATGGAGGAAACAGTGCTGTGTCTGTCTCTGTCTGTCTCTGTGTCTGTGTCTGTCTCTCTCTCTCTCTCTCTCTCTCTCTCTCTCTCTCTCTCTCTCTCGGTGGGGATTCACAGCACTCGGATCCATCCATCAAGCAACACCTTTTCCCTTATTTTCCCAAACATGAACCAGCCTTCTCACTTTTCCTTCCATTCCTTTCCAGGAGACACCAATGTCACTAGCAGCTGGACCTGGGCTCTCGCTCCATGCTTCCAGGAGTCCAGGCACAGAGATGATGACCAGCTAGAGCTTTGAGTCATGCTCCTGCTCGATTTGCCAATTGCACGACCCTGGCCTACCAAGACACTTAATAGCTGGGACATCTACCTAAAAAATAATAGCTGAGCACTTCCTATGTTTCAGGAACTAGGATGCTAAGTTTTCCATGCTACACATGCATTTTTTCCCTCTTTCTTTGGATTTTTAAATTTGTTTTGTTTTTTAAGACAAGGTCTTATCTATAATTCATGCTGGCCTTGAACTCACCATGTAGCCCAGGCTGGCCTCCAACTCACAGCAATCCCTCTGCCTCAGCCTCCTGAGTGCTAGGATTACAAGCATGCACCACCACACCCAGCCACATGTGTCATTTTACTTAGTCTTTAGCAGAGCCACATGAAGCAGGCACTATTGTCATCCCCATTTGTGAGGTAAGAAGGCAGAAGCACAGCCAGGTGTGGTGGTGCATGTCCATAATTCCAGCACTCAGGAGGCTGAGGCAGGAGGATCGGCAAGAATTCAATAGTGGGCTGGGCTACATAAGTGAGTTCAAGTCCAGCTTGAATTACATAGTGAGACTGGGTCTCAAAAACAAAATAAGAAGAAAGAAAAGAAACAAAGAGACAAACAAATGAAGCACAGAGGTCAAACAGCTTGTGAGAGGCCATCAGAGATGGATGGGGAAGCCAGACTTCCAAGACATTTTACTCTCTCCCTCCTTCCCCGCAGTATGGCCAGGGTTAAATGGCCTTAATGTCACTCAGGTACCCGCATGGTGCCAGCTATGCACACAGCATCAAGAAAATGTTAGCTGTGCTGTGCTAACAGCACCGTCATTTCTCCCAGGAGCAACCTGGCCTAAGAAACAGACTTAGACAAGCTTAGCCACCATGTATGTGTCCTTCAGCATGATGAGCAGACCTCTTCGAGGACCTGGCCACCTGCACACCATGAGTCACCTGGCAGAGACGGGCAGGTGGCAGGCGCACTTTTCCTCTGCTTGCAAAAATGTTCTCCAGGATAAAAGAGTGTGAAGCCTTCCTAAAGATGCACACAAACCCGTGGTAGCAGAAGCGCAGGCGGAGGAGGCAGGGCTAGAAGTGGGTCACGTTTCAGAACTTTCCTTGTCTATTGTTCTGAACTCTGAATGCGTGGAAATCAGGTTGTGAATGGTGGGTACATTCCAAGCCAACCCACGTAAGTCTATCTGACCCATTTTAAATTCAGTGAGGAAAATCGTGTTGCCAACCAAAGGGCGAGCCAAGTGCAGAGGCTGTGTGAGGGAGGAGGAGGAGGAAGAAGAGGAGGAGGAAGAAGAAGAGGTGGAGGAGGAGGAGAAGGGAAAGAAAGTAGAAAGTTTCCTCTTTCCTGATTTAGAGGAAAACTGGCATATAGTGCATTAGTTATATTTTGCTGTGTAACACATCATCCTAAAATCTATCATCTTAGAGCAATCATTTTTTTTTTTTTGAGACAATGCCTCTTTGTGTATGTAGCCCAGAGCAGCCTTGAAATAGCCCAGAATTAGCCTGGACCTCATAGCAATCCTTCTGCCTCAGCCTCCCAAATCCTGGTATTACAGGCGAGTGCCACCACACCCAGTCCTGGGCAATCAGCAATTATCATGACACAGTCTCCGCATCACCTGAGAGTAACTCAGCTGGGTTATTTGGTCTAAGATCTCTTTTCAGGTTTCAACCAGCAATGCCCACAGTGAAGTCACAGGGCTTCACTTTTGAGGGCTAAGGGTCCCCTCCAACCTGGCCCGCATAGGCTGAAGGCTACAGTTCCAGCTCAGGGTCTTCCCTTTGGGGCTGCTGGAGACTCTCATGACATGCTGGCTCCCCAAGTCCAAGAGCTCCCAGCGCAACAATGAGGAGGGAGCTACGGTGCCACCTATGATCGGTCTCATTACTCAGTCCCTTCTTCCTGTCTATCCTTACAGGTCACTTGCTGTTACGTTCTGCACATAAAGCAACAGGAAGGGAATTAAGATGCCCTTCTTGAGGGCTAGAATTGGGACAGAACTTGTGAGTCTCTCAAAATCATCATCTGGAATTTCGCTGTCCACCCTCACTATTCTGGCACCCAGGGAGACAGGTGGCAAAAGCTGGGATGCAGAAGTACAATCTTCCTCCTCCTCCTCGCCAAAACCTGCCATGAGTACCCAAGACAAGGCCCCGTACCCAAGACAAGGCCTGCTCTTGCCTCAAGCCCTGCTCACACTTGGAAATATCCATTGCTTCTCCTTAAAGGAAATGTTATTTGAACAAGTTACAGTCAGAGACTACGACCATGGTCCTAAAATGCATGCTCTATTTCTTTATAGCTATTTAGTAGAAGTAGTAAAAATACAGTAAGTAAATAACTCTCAACAACCAACTCCAAACTGAGTGGACCACGACATTCGGGGCTAGGAAAGCAAACCCCAGGAACTCTCAGTCTGCACTTGATGAGGGCCAGAGTGTCCGGGTCAGTGAGGCTCTGGCCCACAGCCTTTCCTTCAGAGTTTAGGAACCAGGGTCCTGCTGTTCAGGTTCTCACTTGCTTGGCACCTGCAGTCCCTTAGGGGCACCGTGGGCATTCAAAATGATGACCACCGCGGTGTCCAAGCACAGTCAATGCTTCTGCGTTTCAGGCAGAAGATCCTAAGGTGTCACCTGAGTTTTCAGAGGAGAGCGCTGTTTCAAGTGACCTTTTCGCTGCACTTTTGGTAAGATGCAGACTATTACAGAAATGCAGCCTTAGAACCGGGTGTGGCGTGGCATATCTGTCACCCCAGCACTCAGGAGGCTGAGGCAGCAGGCTGATCATGTGTGCAATGCCAGCCTGGGCTACAAAGTGGACTCAAGGTCAGCCTGAGCTGTACAGGGAGACCCTATCTCAAAAAGACAATAAATAAAAAACAAATATAAAAAGTTTAAAACTCAGCATTCACCAACAGCGAATGAACGGGAGTTTGCAGCTCCAAGCATAAGTGAGGGGGCTCCACCTGGCTGACATGGTCCCCAGCTGACACTGCTGTGACTTTTTTAGAGTCCTAGGGCCAAGGAAACATGTTGTACTAAGCAGTAAGGTCTACTGAACACCCCAAGCCCAACCAGAAAACCCAGATGAAGAAACCTTAAGACTCTGAGGAGAGAATTACTGTCATTGCATTTTGCCATTAAGCTTCAGATTTACATCAAAAGCTACTCAGAACTTCACGCTTTTTAGTTTTATTGTCAGAACCAAAGGCCAAATGGATCTCTCTGCCAGCTGTTCTGCACTTGGCTTCAGCCCGTATGGGTTACCTCTGTAGCAGAAGTGGGCAGAGAGGACACCGCGTGCTAGGGTTCGCTGGGGGCCAGAACCACCGACCTGAGCTATAGCCCTGGCCTCCCACCGAGCGCTTAGGTTCCTGCCTGCTCGCCCCCAGGCAGCAGCAGGTAGAGGGGAGACAGCTACCCAGCTCACCTGCTGGGAGCGGTGGAGTGGGGGTTCCAGAGGCGCATCCTCACCTGAGTTCAGCCCGTGGTCTCCTGACCCGTTTGGGGTGCAGTAACGTGGGCTGGGACCCACAAGTACATCCCCAGAGAGAGGGCGCGACCCAAGCAGACGGGGAGCGCGCACCTCACACGGGGCGGGGCGAGGGGCGGGGACAGCGCTAGGGGGCGGGACCCGAGTGAGGAGTCAGGGACCAGAAACCAGCCCGAGAAGTGGGATTCAGATGAGGGGGCGGGGTCTAGCCCGCGTGCTGCCTCGCCCCTAAGCCGCCCATACCTTCCATTGGCTGCCCTACTCCAGTCGCCCCGCCCCGCGCCCTCGCGCCGCACCTCCCCCGGCTCCTCCCCCCGCGCACGCGCGGCCCGGCGCAGGGCAGGGAGCGGCGGCGGCCTGTCATTTGCGGCGGGTTCTGCCGGCCGAGCTCCTCAGTCAGTGCTCGCGGCTCCGCTCGCGGCTCCTGCTCCTCCGCTGCCCGGCCCGAGCGGCGATTTCCCCAGAGCCCGCTGTCCCGGGGAACGCGCACCGGCCCGGCCGTGCCTCACGGCCCCCTCGGCGCCCCGCGACCCCGCGACCCCACGCCGCGGCCGCAGCATGGGCGGGGGCGCGCGGCGCGGCCCCGGGGCTCGGGCGCGCGCGTAGCCGGCCGCCATGGCGTGGACGCGCCTGCGGGCGCTGCTGCTGCGGAGGGGCGACGCGGCGCCGCTCTTCCTCAACGACGCCAGCGCCTTCGACTTCGCGGACGACGCGGGCCCCGCGGGCCTGCCGCGCTTCAACAAACTGCGCGTGGTGGTGGCCGCGGAGGATGACGGCGACACGGGCGACAGGCCGGGCATCGGCGCTCTCCCGGCGCCGCAGGCCGACGACGACGCGCTGCTGGAGCCCGAGCCGCCGCCGGCGCGCGGCCGCCTGAGCCTCGGGCCCGACCCCTGCGACGGCTGCAGCCGGCGGCGCGAGCGCGTGCGACTGCGGCGCGTGAGGACTCGGCTGACGCTCGCCGCCGCGCTCTACCTACTCTTCATGGTCGGCGAACTCGTAGGTGAGCCTCGCCGCCCGCGCACCCTGGCAGACACAGCGTGAGGTCAAACTTTGAGGTGCTGATCGCATGATGGGTCGGGCCTGTGGGTCCAAAGTGCAGGAACAATCTGCTGGCGTCGTAAATGTCGTCTTGATAACTGGGTTCATCTTCCACTTATTGTCAGTCATCTGTCACATACTATTCGTTATGTGCCATGTAATTCCTCTCGTGCATCCCAGCACTCCGGAGGCTGAGACAGGAGCATTGCCCAGAGTTAGAGGCCAGCCTGAACTGTACAGCAAAACCCTGTCCCCACAAAACAGATTGTTCTAAAGACTTAGAGTCATAGAATTTGATGGTGTTACTGAAGGTTACTGAATGTCTTGCAACTTTTTCCCTTAAGGACAGTTGTTTTGTTTTGTTTTGTTTTGGAGTCAAAGTCTCACTGTGTACTTCAGGCTGCCCATAAAAACTCTGTGTGGCCCAGGCAGGTCTCAAGCTCATGGTGACCTTACTGCCTCAGCCTTCTGAGTGACAGACTCATAGCCGGGCACCACGAAGCCCAGCTTTGAAGAGACAGTACCGCAGGGTGGTGACTGCTTCTCCCGTGGTCACTATGAACCATTCAGAGGATGGAACTGGTGGTTCAAGTTGAAAACCTTTAGCTTGAAGTTACATGTAGAAAAATAACACGCACGCATTTCCTGTCTCATCTCATTCCACCCCGCCAGTAGCTTTCTCAGGACCCCCTAGCATCTTCCCTGCTCTGAAGAACCCAGTGGTTGGTCCCACTACCTCAGTGGCTTTCAAACATCCTGACCTCACCGTGGTAAGGACTCCTGTAGACATTTGTGTGATGTGTATGTGCTTGTGAGCACACGTGTATAGGTGTGTAAAATTGAAGCCCGTTCTGTGATGTGTTCTCATTTGCAGTTGTACCCACCCACTAATGTAATTTCATAGGTCACTGTACATAGATTGCCTTTCACAAATATGTCACCCACCTTTTTTTGAGGTAGAGTCTCACTATTTAGCCCACTCTGGCCTATAGTGTGTGGAGATCCTCCTGCCTCAGCCTCCCACATGCTGGGATTACAGGCATGGGTCACCATGCCCAGCTGTGGTTTTTGAATTTAAAATTTGAAGGTAAAAGAACCACATTGATCACTGTTTTGGTTTGTTTTTTGACCCAGGAATCAAACTCAACTTTGTGCTTGCCAGGCAGGCACTATACCACTGCAGTTTTGTCCCTTAATATCAGTATACCGTTTATATCAGCTAAATAAGAAGTCCCTAAGATAGAAGTGGTCTAGCCTAGGCTACATAGAGTTCCAGGCCTGCGTGGACTGCGTGGCCTCAAAACAATCAAAAGCAAAACTTAACTGACATTCCCAAAATCTCTTGTTTTGTGAAAACCATAGTATTTTCTTTCAAATATGGACTTTACATTCAAATAGGAGAATATCTTCTCACGTAGTGCAGAGGTGATGATACTTAGGTGAGCATTAGCAATATTCAAAGTGCTATATAGATGTAAAGTATCTCAGAAATTAAGCATCTTGTGTAGGAAGTGTGCAATCATAACGAGTGATGTAATTTACAGATCTGAAAGAGACCCGATTTTGAATTTTGGCTTTGCCACTAAACTTGCTCTGAGACCTTGAACAAGGTCTAGTTTTTTCCTTCCACTTTTTTGTTTTGTTTTGTTTTTTTGAGACAGGTTTTCTATTGTGTAGTCCAGGTTGGCTTTGAACTCACTATGCAGCCTAGGGTGGTCTTGAACTCACAGCGACCCTCCTGCCTCAGCCTAGGACTACAGGCATGCAGCATCATACCCAACTCAGCAAGTTAGACCAGGGACTGTGCTACTTGGTGCAGATGTACAGTGGTGGACACAACTATTCTTCTGTCTGTATCATTAATTGGAAGAGGAAACATTAATGAATAAACACGTGACTAAAGTTCAGGTTGTCCTAAGTGCTATAAAGAAAAAGAATAAGGCGCTGTACTGTCATACAGAAGCAAGTCAGACATTGTTCATCCATGAACCAGGTACGTTTAAACCATAAAGTGGCCAGAAGGGGTGATTCAGGCAAAGAGAACAACACATACAAAGGCCCCTACAGCCTTCCAGTCCTTAAAATTAACTGGAAAGAAGGCCAATATGGTTGGAATGTAGAAAGCAGGAGGGAGAAGGTATGCCCGTGTTGATGGGCCAGACTGGAGGAATGTAGTTTCATTCAGAATATAAGGGGAGCACCCCTGTGATTCCAGCACTTGGGAAGCTGAAGCAGGAGGATCTCTGAGTTGGAGGCTAGCCTGCACTACAAAGCAAGACCTTGTCTTAAACAACTAATATGAAGAACACAAGGGGAAGCTAGTGAAGGGTTTTAAGCAGAAGAGGAACTTGATGGAATTTAGTGTTTTATATTCTCTGGCTGTTAAGCTGTAAGTTGGGTGTGTTGGTGAACACATAAAAATCAGCACTCAAAAGGCCAAGGCAGGATGGTCACTGTGCTAGCCTGGACTACACAGTGAGACCTCATGGAATCTCAAAAAACGTGAGGAATTGGCTCCAAGGGCACAGGAATGAAGAAAAACTGTTAGGATGATCCAGACAAGGAAAGGCTTGGAGTAGGAGAGATGCGGAGAAGTGTGGACAGTGTGGGGGCCCTGCTGTGAGCTGCAGGCAGCTGGTGCGGTCCTTCGCCGAGGCTGGCCATGCGGGAGCTGTCCTGAAGTGGGCAGAGAAGGCAGCAGGGTCCGGAGTGTGTGCCGAGCTGTTGGGACACGTCGGTGTGTGTGTGTGTGTGTGTTGGCCACGTGGGGACATCCAGTGGGCTGTGGACAGTTTGACATGTGAGCCTGGCTCAGAAGAGGGGTCAAAGCTACAGCAGACAAGGGCGCGAGGCCACAGGTGGGGCGCAGTTCCTGGAGCCCCAGTTCTGAGGGACAGAGGCCAGCAGGTATCCTGGAGTCCCAGTAGTTCCCTGTGAACCTTGGTTTCACTTCCTGTGGTTCTGGATTTTGTGATTTCACTTAACCACAATCAACCACCATGAAAGCATTAGATGGCAGGTCCCAGAAATAATTCATAAGCTGGAAGTCCCACGCTCTTCTGAGTGTTGTGATGCAGTCTCCCGCCATCCTGCCCAGGACGTGAGTCATCTTCAGCCAGTGACCGCACAGAACTTCGCCACAGGCCTTGCTGTCATTGTCCTAGGCTATTGTTCCTCACAGTGCCTGACAAGTAAGGTAAACCCATCCCAGGTGTGCGTGGGTTAGAACCATTGTGTGCCCAGGGTTTGCTGCTGCCTGGAGTTTGTGGGCAGCTGCCGGAGCTCCTGGAAGTATCCCAGGAGGACCCTGGGGGGCAACTGGGCATCAAAGTGGACAAACAGGGCAGCTCTTATGTGGTCTCATTGGACAAGAACTGAAAATACCCTCAGGATTTGGTGGCAGAGTCACTGATTGTATTTATAAATCATTTGCACTGAGAATGTAAACAGTCTTCTAAGGAAGTTGGCAAATTAAACTCATGCATCTAATTTTGCTTTATCCCAAAGCCTCTCTTAAACTACAACAAAAAGATTTAGAAGAGGGGAAAAAAAAGTGTCAGTGTACACAGGTGGGAAACCCTGGCATGGAGGGTGGGCCGTAGTGAGGTTAGGGCGGAAAGGCCAGGGCTGAGACCGGGCAGGCAGGCTCTCAAGCCTTAGAGCCACATGAGAGTGGTCACAGCAACACTTGTGGGCCGCCCCAGGAGGAAACCCCAGGGCCGGGAGTAGCTGGGCGCCTGAGGGTCTCCTCATGGCAGGCACTGCCCTCCCAGAGCCCGAAGCAGGATTTGGAGCAAGGAGTTCCTTATTCCGTGCTCAGGGAGCCATTGGCTGTGGTCACAGAGCTCTCCTCCCCCAGAGGCCAGCACCCAGGAAGCCCCCAGGGTACAGAGACCTGCACGGTAGAAACTTCGAGGAACTTTTGTACTCAGAGAATATCTAGAAGACGAATTAAGTACTCTCAGAGGAGACTAAAAAAATAGATAATAAAGAAAAGTGAAAGAGAAAAAAAAAAAACAGAAAACCTTAAAGTTTAACCTCAAGTGCAGCAGTGCCTGCTTACCCACGAGGGACAGGGTGTTCCCGGCACCCCAAGGTGCCCAGGGCTGTGCATCACGTGGACTGCAGTGTGAACTGTGGTTCTGGTTTGTGTTCCGGTGCTGTGCATAGATGCCACAGATGGAGTGATGGAGACCTCATTCAGCTCAGAATGTGCAAACAGGGCATCTGGTGAGGGTGTGTGTGTATGTGTATGTGTTGTATTTCATTTTTTGAGCCAAAGCCTCACTCTGTAGCCCAGGCTAGCCTCAAACTTGCAGCAATCCTCCTGCCTCAGCCTCCCCAGTGCTGGGATTACAGGGGCATGCCATCACCCTCAATCTCTCTTCTTATAAAGCCATTGAATTAGGGCCCCATCTTTACGGCTTCATTTAATCTTAATTCCCAAAAGTCAGATTCAATTTCCAGCCTGTTAATGCCTCACAGTGAAAATTTTTTATTTTATTTTATTTTGGTATCGGGGATTGAACTCATGACTGCACACTTGCCAAGCAGGCACTCATGCCCCAGGAGGTTAACCTTAGCATGAGTTCCAACAGAAACATGCAAGTATCACACATTAATGCACTGTTATCCTATATATCACCCGCAGTCAGAATGGGATTGCTAAACCACCTTTCTCCTGTTTGGAGGAACAAGATTGCTGTCGCCATCCAAGGGACTCATTGTTGATCTTTTGTGTTGAACTGACACATCCAGGCTGCTTTCGTGGATTTCTCAGCTTCGTTTAGTGTTTGAACCCTCCTGAACTGGAGGGCACGTACCCATTCTTCAGCTTCGTTGTGGCATTTAGATATGACAGTTAATAGTAGTAACCATAGCATTAATAGAGCAATAGAAATAGAATCGGGTTGAGCAGAAGCTGCAGTGCTGAATGTCTCTTTTCAGCCTGCTGCCCATTTAGCAGTTCTTAGATTGCTTTATTTTATTTTGAGGATCTTGCTGAGATGCACAGGCTGGCCTCCAACCCAAGCTTTTCCTGCCTCAGCTTCCTGAGGAGCTGTGACTACAGGTTTGCCCCACTGCACCCAGGGTGAATCTTAGCTTTTGGGAGAATCTCTTAGTAGAAAATGAACATTCGCCTCCCACCTCTGCCACCGTATATACAGGCTCATCTGTACATTCACCCACCTGTCCAGTGGAAGTATTTTACATCAAAATTGCATCTGTGCTGAGTACAGACTTCCTGTTATTCCCTAAGCAATGCAGTATAATTATTTATAAAGGCTTTGCATTGTTACAGGCTGTCTGTCATACATGAGAGGACTTAAAAAGATACAGGAGGATGCGTAGGTTAGGTCAGATATGCACTGTGCCACTGTATACAAGGGATTCGAGCAGGTAGAGGTTTTGATATCCAAGGACAGTCCTGGAGCCAGTCCCACAAAGTTACTGGGGGGCGGCCACATCCATCAGCTTTGGGTGAACTTTCAAACACTGTGACTGAGTGGTAGCAGGAGAAAGACTCGAGTTCTCGTTACTGCTGAGAAGGCTGCGTTTCCAGTTTGGCGCTCACCCTTCTTAGGAACGAATGCCAACCTCTCCCTTTCTGTTCTGCAGGTGGCTATATTGCCAACAGCCTGGCGGTCATGACGGACGCTCTGCACATGCTGACAGACCTCAGCGCCATTGTGCTCACCCTGCTGGCTCTGTGGCTGTCTTCCAAGTCGCCAACCAGAAGATTCACCTTTGGATTTCACCGGCTAGGTGGGTAACTGGAGTCTCCTTGGGTATATAAAGTGTCATTCCAATGGATGTCTTTCCAGTGGTGTCTTGTTTGAATGAAACAAACAGAAATGGATAAATGAGGTCTGTTCCAAAACACATACCTTCAGAATTTACCCCGGTCAGGTAAGTAGCCTGCATATAGAAAATTAATTATATGGCGATCATTAACTTTTAAATGTTACTCCTTGTGTCCTGAAGGTATCCTCAGGAAAAAAGTGTACTTTTAGTTTATTGAACTAAGAGAAATCACATGAGTTTAACTAATTAGTGGGCGTTAATCTCTCCCTTTCATGTTAGGAGTTTCAGCTAAAGCTCTGAAACTTAGATTTTAAACCTAGATTTTAACCTCTCAGATCGTGTGTCTGACCTTCATTGTATCAGTGTGATTCTACAAATGCAATCGTTTTTGCCTATTTTGGGTAGATACTAGTGTCTAGTAAAGGCTGCAATCATACCTTGTGGGGCTGGGGATTTAGCTCAGTGGCATAAGTGCCTACCTGACAAGCGTGAGGTCGTGAGTTTGATGCCCTGTACCCCACCCCCACCCCGCAAAATCGTACATTGTTTTCTATGCAGCTTTGTTCTGATTGTTACCATGCTTTTGATTTTTTTTACTTTGAAAGTGTATAGAAAACAGTTACCTAAAGGATTGTAAAAGCATCCGGTGGTCAGGTGTCACTTTCGTGGAACCCAGCAGTTGAGATTTGCTTGACATTAAGCAGAGCCTGTCTCAGAGTTAACATACGGTGTTTTATTTTACAGGGACTCTCAAGTCTTGGCTTTTGTCCCTCAGTTCCTTTTCCTTGCTATTTTCTAACCTGCTCTTAACTCAGCCTCTGGGTCTTTTTACTTACTTTGTAAAACTTGTCATCATACCTCAATGGTCATACCTAAAAAGCATCTCAGTTATCAAGTTGGAAAGGTGTCTGGCCCCCACACCCCTCAGCAATCTCAACTCTTTTTCTCTCTCTGTCTCTATCTCTGTCTCTGTCTCTGTCTCTGTCTCTGTCTCTTTATCTATCTATCTGTCTGGGACAGTATCTCACTGTGTAGTTTGGCTGTGCTTGAATTCAATATGTAGCCCAGGTTGACTTTGAACTCATGACAGTCCTCCTGCCTCAGCCTCCTGAGTGCTGGGATCACAGGTGTGCATCACCACCCTGATGGTCTAGGCGAGGTTTTCCTGCTGTCTTTAAGCTCTGCATAATGCATGTGGATGTGTTCCTAAAAGAACCCACTACTTTTGCATATATTTTGCACTCATGTGTTTCCAGTAACCATGGGCTTTTTAAGCAGCTTTAACTTTATTTTTACACATTACACAATAATGTGTAATGATTTAAACATCTGTAATTTAAGATCTGAAGGTTGGCATTGTGGGTGGGGATTTCCAACTTCGAATATTGTTTGAGAGAATGTGTTTTATGTAGTCTAACAGTTCCTAAACACTTTGCCGCTGTGATGAAACCAGGGGAGCTGTCCCCCATGAAAATGCAGCAATAGAACATCCAAGGTGCTGTGCTTTTAAGTTAAGAGTCTGTAGTTATCCAAAATGTCACTAGAGAGTTGTCAGACAGAAGCCAAGGGGGCCCCCAAAGCAGAAATGGGGAACCTTGACATACCCCAACCCGGGACAGGTCACAGGCTTGCTGACTTCCACCTCAGAGGAAGAATTTTCAGGATGCATCGGGAGGAGGAGCAGGAGGATGTGGTCAGTGGAATTTTAAAAGCACGCATGCAGGGAAATGGTGCGGGCCCGGAAGAAAGGGTGAAGGCGGCTGCGGCCTTGTGCCAGATATTTCAGGGCGTCTTGGGGGTGTGACACCGTAGAGCTTTTGGGTCTATGAGAAGAAGAAGGGATTGGCTTGCAGATGAAAGGCTCTTTCTGCAGTGGAGAGTGGTAGCCTTGTGACAGCCACCCCAGGGCACAATGGTGCTGGCTGTGGGAAAGGCCTGGTTTACCTGAGAGCAAGAGTGGTTGTGTTCCCCGGTGGCAGCAACCCCCTCGAGGGTGAAATGGGAAGGCCCAGGCCCCATTTTGTCTTTAAGGACATTAAGAATTTGGGGGTGAGGCAGGGGTGTGTCCTGAGCCTACAATTTTTACTAAAAGTTCAGTTTTAAAAATATGATTTTTCTTGCCTCCTTTTTGCCTTTTTCTTTGGATCCTGTCCCAGTGCTTTCCTTAACACATATCATCACGCACTTCCTTCTCTCTGAGTCTGTAAAGATAAAAATAGAGAAGAACCAGAACACCAGAGAGAACCAGATGGCTGGTCCCAAGGAACAGAACGAATGCAAGTAAGTGGACAGAAATGAGCCAGGACACCAAGCCCGGAGCTCAGAGCACATCACCAGCCGGAACCACGCTGCACAGTGCAGGGCTTAAGAGTGGTACCGTGAGAGGGGAGGAGAATTTAGCCATGGTCCAGGCAGAGAGGAGAGAGTGGGATGGATGAATGCAGAGCAGGAGAGCGGCCTGAAGTCTGGGAGGAGCACACCTGCCCCTGCTCCTGCACCCACACAGCACGAGACCCGAGGACCAAGGCAGCCCTGGAACACCCAGGAACATTTTCATCTGATCACTGCGGGCCTGGTTCCAGCTGTCTCAGACCTGAGGACAGCCAAGGGTCTGGAGACGGGCACAGTGCCCGTGGCAGCGGTGGAAACAGGCCTTGTGTGAAGATTCATTAACATTAGGGTTGTGGGGCTCAGAATAGAATGTGTTTAGCCTTGAAAGGGTCCTTGAGGCTTCTTAAGGGGATGGGGAGGAAGTACGGTGTCCCTTACATCACAGCAAGCTGTTAGGCACCTGGTGAGGGCCATATGGCCTGGGCTTGCAGGATGGGAGGCCCATCTCCTGTCACAGACTCCCCGCTCAGCTGCTTCATGGCTTCTAAAGAAACAAGCATAAAGTGACCACTGTCCCCTAGGGGCTTGTCACGGAGAACCCCAGAGGAACTCAGGGACAGAGATGAGGAGAAGAGGGAACTGTGGCTGAACCCTGGAAACAAGAACAGGATGATCTGAAACAGGAAACGGCTCCTAAGGCCTCCTTTCAGCCACGCATCCCTGAGACCTGGGCCTGCCCAGCTAAAACCACCAGGCAGTTTCTGCGAAGAGGTGGAGCAGGGTTTTTGGGGAAGGCTGAATCGAGGGTGCGCTAAGGTAGTTCTGCTGGGAGTGATGGTTCTGCGGCCTCACAGCCTGGCTCCGGTGGCCTGCAGTGGACATGCAGGTCCTCCAGTGCCCAGCGCTGTGCCTTTTCTTAGTAAAGCTTCACTTCTCGCCCACTCATCTTCTCAGCGCTCCCTTGTGCCTTATAGGGTGGCTCCCCTGACCTCCCCCAGCACCAGGACTCTGCTGGCACCTAGACAAAGCAGCAGTAGGAGGGTAACCAAACTGAAGTAAGAGAGATGAGCCCATGGGAAGGTAGAGGCAACATGACAGAAGAAAAGCATGCTCAGAGTAATAATACACTAAGATATTTTGAAAAAGAAACAAAACTATTTGAAATTGAAATATTGCTAATTTTTTAAAAAGTTCTTTTCTTTGACTAGAAAAATATAATCAAGAAAATCTCCCGGATTATAGATACTATGAAAACAGAAGGCAGAAGTGAGAAACTATAAAAGAATAACCCAAAGGCCTGCTATTAGGAACCTCATAAAACGAAACCTCAAAAATAAGGGAGGGCCAAGGATAGCTCAGCAGCATAAGCACCTGCTTGACAAGTGCTAGGTTGTGAGTTGGGTCCCCAGTACCAAAAACAAAAAAAAGAGGGGATACAGTTCAGGTATTTCTTTAGTTTTTTTACCTAGTTGATCTGTCTTTTTGTGACAGCGGGGCATTAAGATCCTCTAGTACATATTAGTGCTTACTTGATTTTTCATGTCTGTTAATATTTGTTTTATATAGTTGGGTGCCCTGATATTTGGTGCATAGATGTTTATGATTGCTATCTCTTCCTCTTGAATTGTTCCCTTTTCAAGGACATGATGACCTTCTTTGTCTCTCTTAATCAGTCTTGGCTTGAATTCACTTTGTAAATAGAATAATAGACAGAGCTATTTTTTCCAAATTCCTGTCACATGGAGTATTGTTTTCTATCCTTTGACTTTCAGTCTGACTTTTTGAATTAAATGTGTATTTTGTATGTAGCATATTGTCGGATCTTGTTTCTTGATTCTGACAGACTGTGTCTTTTGATTGGTGAACTCAGACCATTAACATTGATGATTACAACTGATATTATTGACTTGCCCTTGTCATATTGTTTTTTAGTTAGGTAACTGTTTTAATGCCCTCTTTTTACTCATTTGTCATGCCTGATGGAGTGCTGCTGCTGGGGCTTATGTAGTGTAGTCCTCATTATCTCTTCCTAGAGTGTCCTTCACAACATTTTGGAGGGTTGATTTGGCAGTCATGAATGTCCTTAGGTGTCTTTGTCATGGAAATATCTTATTTCTCCATCAGTTTTGAAAGACAGTTTTGAGCCAGGTGTGGTGGCCCATCCCTGTAATCCCAGCCCTCAGGAGGCTAAGGCAGAAGGATCATTTCGAGTTCATGATTGGCCTGGGCTACAAAATGAGCTCAAAGCCTCAACTGCATAATGAGAACCTGTCTCAAAAAGACAAAAAAAAAAAGGAAGAAAGAAAGAAAGTTTTCCAGGGTACGTCAACTGGTCTGGAGGTTGTTTTCTGTTAGAACTTGAAATACTTTAAGCTGTCCACTTGAGGGTTGATATTGAGAAGTCTACTGTGATTCTGATGGGCTTGCCTTTATATATGATTTATTTTCTCTTTTAATAGTCTAATCTTTTGTTGAATTTCTAGAATCCTGATTATTATGTGGCTTGGGATAGATTTTTTTTTTTATCATGGCTAATTGGAGTTCTGTATGCTTCACTTATCTGTCAAATTCATTTTTGATTCTTGGGAAGTTTTCTTTCTTTTTTTTTTTTTTTTTTTTTGTACCAGGAA